AGTATTTTTGGATGAAGGGTAATGACCTCAGTTCTTGGAAGTTCTTAGCAGCTCTGTGAAAATAAACACCTACTAGTGGTAAAATATAAAAATTGGGATCTGGCCAAAAATAAGTTGGTAGCACCCCTAAGAAAACATGCTGGATGGACAAACAGCAGCCCTGGCTCTGGCTAATGGCTCTGCAGCAGCTCAGGAGGGCACCTGATAGGACCACTAGGTGGAAGAGGGGTTTGCTGAGGACATGGCAAAATGGATCTTCAATGAGACATGGCACAGATAGTCGGGAAATCAAGCTTCACTAGCCCCTCTGCTCACAGAACGAATTTGTTATTAGGACTGTGGTGATGTAAGTTTATATAGGTCACTGTGACAGCAAAAATATATCATTTTTATCTTCAGTCTGCTTGATCTTCAGCATTTTTAATCCACAGTATCAGTCTGACTGATTCATTGTTACTTATAAACCACACTGACAAAGACTTCATTTTATCTCCATGCACAAATACCCTGTTCCTAAAATACAGAAGATGTACATTGGCTATCTACATAAACAAGGGATTAGTTTTTCTTCTGATTTTATGACATTGTTTGTCCATGCCCTCTTGAATATATATGACCAACTGAGCCTCTATTTCAGCCATTTTATAATGCAATGAAATTGTATTGTGCTGGTTTTTCTGTTTTTCTTTTTTACTGCAAATATGGTATTTAATCCCTACAAATATAAATCTAGATAGTCTTCCAGCACTCCTATTCATATCCCATTTATTCTTTATTATGGTCCACTGTATTAACTTCCTTGTAATATGTAGCATTGTTTTTCCTAGTCCTGACTGTAAGTGGGCCCACTGATCTACAATTGCCACTCTTTCAACCATGGCCTGGATTTTTGCTCTTACTTTCAAATGTAAAGAAACACATTCTGACCTCATTCTGACAATGACCTAAGAAAATGTATTCAAATAATATATGCTAAAGATGTAAAGTTTGGCTGCTGAATCCTGTGGACTTCAGGACTCAGGGATTTCTCTGGGCTTACTGGTGCAAGCCAACTGTGGGCACACAGGGATTCTCCATCCCAGTCTGTTGGACACAGCCCCTGTCCTTGTGTGCAGGTTTGTCCAGCAGAAAAGAGGAGCATTTGTCCCAGAGACGCACCAAGGAAACTGCACAGAGATTACCCAGCAGACCACTGCCCTCAGCCACACTCACATAAACACAAACAACCCTCACCCTCCTCCCTTCCAGCTGATGAGGACTGAAATCCTCTATGAAAACATATGTGTCCTCACTTTTGAGATTCATGAGTGCAGTTACATTCAAGATCCTTGAATATCAGCTCAGCTTGCCTGGGCTCCCCTACCTAGACCAAGTGGGTCTCCTCCTACTCTCCAGCTTGAAGTTTGCTAGCAAGCAAATGTGTGGACCACACATTCATCTCACAAACCTCTCCACAGTCATGGATTCCTTGAATTTAGCACAGCTTCTCTGTCTACCCATGCCCTGACCCTGTGTCCCCTTATTCAGCATGACCTCAGACCTTGAGTCCTTCCAGGTTCAGGCTTCCTCCTGCTCATCAATTAGTCCAGCTTAAAATTTGTCATACAATTACACATACATGTCCATACAGGATTAAATTAACTAGAAGAAAAGGAAGTATATTTTGTTATTCACATGTGCTAATATTTAAACCTCTCCCACATAAATATACACCCTGATCCCTTCAGTTGCTGACAACTTGACCTACACACTGTCCCTCCAATTGGGACAACCCTGATGTCTAGAGGAAAATAAATTTGATGAGTGTTCTCTTTTAAAATGATAGAATCATTTCAGATGGAATAGACCTTTAAGATCATCTAGTCTAACCATTAACCCAGTCGTGCCAAGTCCCTTACTTAATCATGTCCCTAAGTGCCACATTTAAATGTCTTTTAAACAGCTCCAGGTTTGGTGACTCCACCACTCCCTGTACAGCCTGTTTCAGCACTTAACAAGCTTTCTCTGTGAAAAAATGTTTCCTGGTATTCAGTCTAAACCTCCCCTGCTGCAACTTGAGGCCACACCTCATGTCCTATCACCTATCACCTGTTACTGAAAGGGGAAAGGGAAAGAGACAGAGCCTCACCTGGCTACAGCATCTGTTTAGGGAGTTCTAGAGGTTGGTAAGGTCTGCCCTGACCTTCTCCTGCCGGCATATTGGTCTTGCTAGTTGCTGTCACCAAGACCTATGGGTTTCTTCTCCAGTTCACTTAAGCCTCGCAGCACTCACACACGGGATACAAAGTTTTGCCCAGTCCCCAAGCACCCACGGAGCAGACAGGAGGCTCATTCCCCCTTCCCACTGCTTAGAAAGCCCAGGATGCCCCCCCACTGCCCGAGTGCCATCCCTAATAGCCCATCAGCCGGGGGTCTGGTCTGTCTCCGTGTTTCCCTTACCCCCTGCTGATAAGTTTGTGTATCTGCGTGCTTATTCCATCCCTTTCCTTGCTCTGTGTTGCTACTCCTGAACCGAAAAGTTAGAGCCAGAGAACTTAAAGAGGCCGGCGCTGCCCCATTCCACACAGCCTCACAATACACACTCTGCAAGCTCTTGGTGCCCGAGGTTGCCTGAGGGGATGAGGGATCCGTGAGTTGAAGAGGTCACGACTAAAGCAAAAGAAAAGCCCCTGAAAAAACGCCAGGCATCCTCGCAGGACACAGGGCTTGAGTATCTTTTTTCTTTCTTTCTTTCTTTCTTTTTTTTTTTTTTTTTTTTTTTAATAAAGCATGGGTTTCACTCTAGTTGGTATTTCTATGGTTTCACAACCCGAAATATGGAAGTTGATTCAGAATTTGCAAACAAAAGTTTATTGTGCGGCTACTGTGGGCAGCACAAGCATAGGTAGACAAGCAAGTGTTGGATTCTGCCGGAGGAGATGATTAAGATGTCATCCAGGAAGGTCGGCAACATAAAAAGGCACATCACTCCTGCAAGCAAACTTCAGGGAACCTGTTTCCCTGCTCTCCTTTTCAGTCCTGTCAAAGTTATGAGCAAATGCAATACCATTCCCGAAGGTAAATCATCAGCTTCAAATCACTCCTCTCTCGTTGCCCAGGAATCCCAGGTAGGACCTGGCTTTCCTGCAAAAGTAGCCACATCAATCACGTTTAATAGAATTGTACAGCAGCTTGGAATTGTGAGTCAGCTACAGCAGCTGCTTGACACGTATTCCCACGATGTTCGAGTGATGATCCGGAATGAGAAATTAGACTCCTCATCCTGAAAACCTGTGCTGCTGGTGTTACTAAGCTAATCCTAAAGACCATCCCACTGAACTTTCTCTCCTCTGACCGAAAGTAATATGGAAACAACTGAGACTTTGATAAAACACTAAGGGGAAAGCTTTCCAGAATATTGAAATTTTCCAGAATAGTAAGAACAGTGAAGCAACGAGATCAGTCTCCTTCATAAAATCGGTTTTTTTCAAGAGCAAGTCAGGCAAAACATCTCCCAGGAATGACACGGTGAAGCCAGGATATAAGAGAGGGTTAAGGGGTTAAGGCGTGGAGATCAGCTTAGTAAGGTTTATTGAACATACATTGAAAAACGCTTCTCTAAGCACCTCATCTCCTCTACAAACGAAAAGCCTTTTCTTCTCCACAAAGCCCCGTGATTGTGTTCTTAGCAGATAGCACTGAATTTGCACTCCAGTAGACAGAAGGGGGGTGATTGATGGGTTTAAACGATCATTAGAAACCGATCTTCAGCCCCTCAAGTTCCCCATCACTGCTTAGCCCTGGGGGTCCGTCTAAACTGCTTCAGTCATTTGGCATCGGCACAGGTATCAGCCGCGGCCGTGGCCCGGGACAGACCAGCCACCGTCGCAGCGCCACTCCGGAAATCCTCCCTGTCCCCATCGGAATCTCCTACTGCTGTCCTCACAGCTTCAACTGCAGGGAAATCCCCCACAAATATATCTGAGCCTTTTGGGGTCACCACATTTAAACTCTTGCTGCCAGTGACCAAAGCAAGGATAATGTTCTCACCCCAGAAATTAGGGTGAAGAGCAAAGAAATTCATTCACTTCAGTTCCCATGGGCAGGCTTCAGACCTGTGAGCAGCTCCTCCAGAGCCCCCGATGCAACCCACTACAACTAAACAAGTTTTTTATACTAATGTCAGGTGTAATGAGAACATATTCTGTGGTCCTCTTCTCACCTAACACATTCCCTACCTTTTCCATTTGTATACCTGGGTCTAGCACAAGGCATTTGGGAATTACTAAAGCCCTATGCCTTGATGAAGACAAGCAAAAGGTAAGCAGCTTAAACAGCTAATACTCTTGTATGACTACTCTATTCCACCATTGCTACATGAAAATGTACAAAAATTCTTTATACTGTTTGATTTTGCATCATTTGCCTATCTATATGGGAGGAGATTAAACTCAGAGAAATATAAAAGATGGCACAGAAAGACAGAGTACTGTGCACAGATTATATTATACTATTACACTTTCTGCCCATTAGATAAAATAAAAATGGAAGGAAAGCAGGAGGAACAATACATTGCAACTTCAAAAAATTTAATCATAAAGTGACTAAGGGGAAAATAATTCTTCTGTTCAGTTTCCCATCCCTCTCTTCTTTTTTCCTCTCTCTCCCATTAAAAAAAAAAAACATTAAATTGCATCAGAATCTATTTTTGTCTGTTAAGCTAAGAAATCACCATTTTCCTCAATAAACATTGATGATTTAACTGACAGTTTATTTTAAAAATAGATCAAGCATTTGGTCATGCAAGTGCTGTATTTTATCCCTAATGGAAATAATTACACTTACTTAAATGCATGAAGAAGCAAGGAGGAAATAAAATAGCCATCTATCTTATCCAGAGGTCTACCCAGAGTCTTTACCAGAAAACATAAGATTTTACACTGTGGTGCTGTAAAAGCTGAAAACAAACGTTCCATTCACTGTTGTCCTGTTGTCCTTGACCATTAACAAAGGGACAGGCTTTAGGATTTATGATAGTAGCAGGTACTGCAGTGACAATCTGTATGGTTCTCTATCTTCACATTGTCCTTAAGGGTAATCTTAAAAAAAGAAAACACACACATAAAACAAATAATTAGGATTAGCTAAGCAGTAAAAACAATATTGTCAAGTAAAATATGTCTGAAAACTTCTTCTTAACTAAAAGTACACAGGCCCTTTGGGGTACATGTACTAGAATGGCCTCAACACCAACCTATGAAGCTGCATCATCACTGTTTTTGGAGCTGTAATGTGAAAGTTTTCAGTAGTGACATGCACAGTGACACAATTTGCTGCTCTTTAACTTGGACATTCCTTAAAGTGTCTCATTTTCCAAAAGTGTCTAGTAACCAATCTATGGAAAATCAGAAAGTGTCCTTAAAATACATCACATGGGAATGACAAAAACAAAGGCAACAAACAAAAGAGTCTCCTTTATACTTAATCTCAACCAAATTCTAGCTGCTGCCTTGGGGCAAGTATAGCATTGTCAGTGTAGAATAAGATCTATGTTCTCCTCAGGTGAAGAGCCAGGATTGGTTCAGCAGAGTTTAAAGTCAGGTGTCTGGCTCTCATTGCAGCCAGTGGAGATCCAGGGCTCTCCTCAGCTGCACCCACTGAACTGTCAATTGTCATTTGAGGGGTCAAAGGGGATCTCACCAAGCCTCCAGCTGTCACTCTAGAAACACTTTCATGGGTTCTGTGTCTGTCAGCCATACCCATGTGACTTCAGTACTCTAAGGTATTCCAAATGCACCAAGTCTGTGAGTGGGTAACTCAGCTGAACCTCTAGCTGACACATTTAATGAGCCTGATTCAGATTACCACAGGATAGACACCTTGGCTTGTTTCAACTAGCTTGCCATTTATTACATAAAATGTAAGGTTTCTTCACTTGGAGCAGAAACACTCCCAAAATAATCAGAGTTAGAAGAAACTTTAAAAGATCCTTCCAGGTGAATGTTAAATGCTCACAGTACTTGCACACATTTACAGTTCCCTCTTGGTTATACTATGAAAAAGTAAAACACCATCTCAATTAATCTAACGAGCACAGATGGTTTTTGTCCCTCATTCCCATACATGTAATTGATAGTATTGACCAGACACCTTCCCAGAGAACTCCTTTCTATGCAGGAAAGACACAAGGCAATTGACTTATTAAAATCAAATACACACTGCATAGCATTTAAGGGGAGGGTGCACATCCAGGAGAGTTGAAAATACTGGGACAAGTCCACCACCAGAGCTGCAGGTGTCATGAGACAAAGCGGTTTCATAGAATTCAGTGGCACTGCACCAATTTCCTCATCCCAGCTGAATATCAGACTCATTACTGGTTGATGATTTAATTTCTTTATAAAAAAGAAAGAACCAAGGCATAAAAGACATAAATGCCAAGGATTCTTCCCTCAAACTGCTCTCCAGTGTTCTCCAGCAAAACCATATTCTTCACTATTCACTGCTTCAGCTAAATATTGCATTGTAAAAGAAGCTAAAGCAGACCTCATTTTCTCACCCTCACCTTGGTAAAAGCCTTTGCTACACAGCATGTTGCTTCTGATGTAATGTTCTTTGGAACAAGCATGGTCTTCTTGGACCTCATTGGAGTGGGATAGGCACGGGAGAAACAGCACCCAGTGCACTGGTAAATGGGTGCTCCTGGCTTGGAAAAGAATCTGTTCTCCCCCAGTTTGCACTCTGGACAACCTGCCATAAAAATATAAGGAAGAGAATTTTACTTGGTTTCCAGATGTATTTTCATTTTCAAAAAGAAAGGGAAAGTGCAGGCCATAAGAGGAAGCACAAGCCACATTCTGTTGCTTGATGTCTGCAGAACAGAAAAGCACAACACCAAAGCTCTCCTCTTTAGGTTTTTTCAACTCTGCAACACGCACCAGCTGTAAAACTAGTCTGTGGCTTTCTAGGTAAACCACAAGCATGGTCTACTGGATCTTTTCTGGTTTTCTTTTCAATTTTGTTGATACTTGTGAAGGTTTGTTTCTGTCTACAGCACTAGCTATTCCTAGAAAACTTCCTACTAGCTGTAGATAGATAAAAGCACCAGCAGGATTTGTAGTGCTTCTTAAACATTGCCTGTTTTTAGGCAAGATTTTGTTATAGAATACTTTTAAAGCATTCAGTGGTACCAAGATTTTTGCACATCACATTTTTTTATATTTTATTTAAGGCTAAATAAAAGACCCTGCAACTTCCAAAGTACCCTTAAAATCTAATATGTGTCTTTCATAGAATGCTACACCACCAGCATCCCATATTCTGGGATCTACACAGGAAAAATATTCTGCATATTATGAGGAAAAGCTGTGGTTCTGCTGTTCCTAATGTTACGTTGTAATTTGGTTCACAGAAGTACAAGAAATCAAACATTTCTATTCAATAGTGTTTCAAGGATTAAAGTTACCAACATCAACTTGAGGACATGGTCATCTAGGATATCACTGACCTGGAGAAATTAAATTTAAGGAAGAAATAGGAAGCATGCTCACAGTGAAATTATCTTGATTTATTATACCCTCATTGTCAATAAATGCCACTGAATGACAAAATTTATGACTGCATTTATAAAATGTGAAAATTTAATGAATACTCTATAATTGTTCCATTTCTGAATGCTGAAAGCAGCTTACCTTGCATGAGAAACTCTCCATCTGGGAAAGTATGAAGAATATGTAGAAATACAGACAAAATGGTCAATGTGACAGCTGCATACTTCCCATAGCAATCCATGATCTGTCTAGAAATACAAATACACACATTTTTGAAGGCTGAGACCAAAGGCAGCATGAAAAGAACATGGCCCCTGCCTGACAGGGGTTACTAAAGTGGAAAGAAGCAAAGTCTATGAGCAAAAACTGATATGCAATGATTTCCAGCGCAATGAATGAAGGCAGTGGAAACAAGCATCTTCCTAATAAGACAGAAAAAAAAAATAGAGGAAAGAGAATGATCTGATGCCCAGCTAAGCAGAATGGCTAACAGGCTGATGATGTGATAGTCATAGGTGTAGAACAGCTGGCAAGGCTGGGTGCTGGGTACAAGTAACTTCACCTTCTCCCTCCCACCTGCCCAGTGAGTCAGTTCATGCTGGAAGAAAACAGAAGATAAAGGAATTAAAAGCAGCCAATAATGATCAGAAAGAGAAAACATTGGCAACAATTTTGGAAGCACTAGAAATTAGCATTTAGAAGATGTATCCAAAAGCCAGTTCAGTGGATGCATCTAAATATGCATACAGGCTCTATGCAACCTGTGATTTTCCTTCTCTGCTTGGACTTTTCCTGAAAGCTTTGGAAGCATTGAACATGGCTGTCAGGTTCCTGAGAAGCAGCTGCCAGCCCTCTGTGACCTGTTCCTTCAACAAGAGTCAGCTGTGTCTGCAGGAGAAAGGTGGTCCTTCACACCGTTTAGATCTACAACCTCTTATCGTCCTGCCAAACATTTTGGGAACTGAATTGTACCCAACAGCATCTATGGAGCCAGCAGAGTGGATTGGCTGGATCCCTCCCTCCAGAAAATAAAGCACTTTTTAAAAGTTGTTTTCTATATATCGTCTTTCCAATCCCTTAGAGGGGATGTGACTGCTGACAGACTTGCCTGCACTGGAACACAATTCCACAGTTTAATGTTAACCTGGTCCATCCAAGGGAACATTCCCCAGAGTGCAAGAAGTCAGCTGGAGGGCCTCATACACCAGCAGAAGACAGACAGATTTTTCCAAATGATCTGTTGCTACATCATCCTGAGCCTTTTGATAGCCTAAATGCTTCAATGGCTTCAATAAAAGAAGCCAGCCACAGGAATAACATCACAACACTACACAGATTATCCTGTTTTTCATGGTTTTTGCTGAAGGCACTGTGGCATCCTTCACCCTAATTTTTCCAAGAAGATATAATGCTATAATTTTGTACACTGTAATGGCTCAAGGGAATCCTAGAGGGAAGGTGTTTTACATTATATTAACCAAAAGGGGAATTGAAATTGCAGTTTTGCACTTCCTCTATTGAGTCAGATTTTCAGGCTCATACCAAAACCACCAAAGAGACCTGAAAATAAACCACAGATGTGATCTTCTCTACTTTTCCAGAGCAATGGCTGTTTTGTCTGATGGTCTTACTTGAATTTTCTGACTGTGCCCATGCTGTTAAACCAGTTAATGTTCTCACCACTCATCTCACCGACAAATCCAAGGAAGCTTCTACTTTGTTCTTTAAATATTATCTTCCTTGAGCTACTGGAACAATACATAATGCCTGAATTTCAGGAGCTCTTTAGAAAGATGGTAATTTTAAATCTTTCCTGGCAGAAAGATTTCTCATTATTTACAAGATCTTGTCTTTTTCTGTTAAAGACTCTAAAAGATTCTCTAATACCACAGGTTGTGTAGTGTTTGATATTTTAAATCAGTTGCCACCATTGAGCAGGAGAAAAACACAAAGTTACTAATGAAGAAGTTTGGGACCCAATCCAAAATCAAAATTATCAATGTTTAGCTGCAATCTAATTCTAGAGCCTCATTTTCTCTTACTTACAAAGTAAGCTTAACTCTAAGCGTTGATGTTTTAGTAACTTTTAAGTTAATGTTCAAAGCAAAAACTTTGACAGAATGGTAGGAGGAGGAAACTTCTGGAAAAGAAGGGAAAGCGAATGTCAAAACATATGCAATTGTTCCTCTGTAACAGTAATGAAAAAATAAAAATATATTACCTCTCTTGATCGACAAGACTAAATCAGAGAAACTGCAGGATGGTGTTTGAAGATGAGCTGTCCTCAGCGCTTGGTGGTAAGTTGCCAAAACTGATGTATGAAAAAGTTGCACCTTTCTTTTATACCAGTAACAGCTAGATCATATTCCTCGCCCACATCTAAGCCATTGGATCAACTGTACATTTTCTCTAATGACTGAACATCACTTTGTGTAATTACCAGCCCACCATGCTGATCTTATCTTCAACCTGACTTTCATAAGGATTATTTTTTTTTCTTATATAATGAAAAAAAGGTCAGCTTGAGAGCACAAAGTCAGTGCTGTATGAGTTTCCGGGGGAACTGAAACACTGAACATCCATTGTTTTGCTACAGTTTTCAATGAACAGAAGCTCACTTTCAAAAAAGAACAAATTAATGTTTTCTAACACTTCTTTTTAAACTGGGGAATATTATTAAAAATATATTATAAAACACTACTATAGAAATGGCATTGTTTTAGCAGAGAATAAAAAATAGTGGAACAGTGATTGATGCAAACATTTAGAAGAAATGTTAGTTTGTAAATTCCCCATTTGAATTTAATGCCCAGAAAATGAATGCATGGATAAACATAAAAATGTAGAAGGAACACCTTTGTAAAGGTAAGATTTCTTGCAGGATCTTATCTTGCTTTTAGAATAAAGTTAATGCAATGGAGGGACTTCTGAAAACTGCATCAGAGTGCAGGTTAGAGACTTGTAAGTCCTCAATTTCAGGTGTCAGAGTCTGTGTAGAGCCGGCTAAATAGGACGGGTCTTACTCTGCCTTCTGGCACCGAGGCCAAACGGTACAGGCCGGCTCGCATCCATTGGATGTTTCCTTTCCTCTTCTCAAAGGGGAGGCCAACATTCAGACCCCTTTTGGGAACAGCCCCTGGCTATGCAAACAGCCTTGGGTCGGTGCTCAAGACCCTGCTGTGCTTCCAAGTCCTGGAGAGATGAGGGAGGTTCACTTCAGATGTAAAAGCTCACTGCAGAAGTGAATGCCTAAACCCCAGTTACTCACTCTGGATTGCCCTTACAGACAGTGCAGAGAAATAGCCCTAAACATCTATTTCAGTACAAGATTAAGCCACTTTTACCGTGTGCCTATTTTTCATCACTGAGAGCCCAGGGTAGCTACCTTGGACTGATCACTGTTCTACCCGGAGAGATTTACAAATGTTTTATAGTTTAAAAAAATTCTTAAACACCCAAAGGCTTAAAATTACCTTTTAAGGACCTGCTTTGTGTCACCCACTGATGGAGATGGGATATTGAAAGAGACCCCCTGCAGCTCCTCGTGTTCCTATGAAAATGAGGCTTTTATTCACAAAACAATCAGTCTCTTACAACAAGTTTATTGTATAGTTGGATTTGGTGAATTGCACCTCTGTAGATTTCTGCTCTTCGGTTTTCTTCTCCCTTGCCCTGACTCTCTTATTAACCGCAACACCCCCAGACTCCATTTGCTATTTCAGACACATTTATCGCAACCTTTATCACCTCTGCCTTCACTAACAACCTCATCTGCTTCAAGGTGTCAGACACCTTTTTCTCTTCTATTTGTTCAACTCATCACTGTAACAAAGTTAAACTCAAAACAATTGTCCCTAGCCTACGCTTGGCTTGAAATTGGCTCCTGTTTCACAACTGAAGACGGATTTCGACACCTGTAAGTTTGTCTGTTTTTTTTTTTTTTTCAAAAATGTGTGCTGGTATAATAAAAGATAAATAAATTTTTAAAAAGTCTCTCCACAATTTTTGCTTTATTTAATAACAAAAGCATACAGTTGAAATTTGAGAGCTATTGGTAAACATAGTTTATTGAGAAGTGCTTCCCTAGAAGACAGAAGCTTAATTTTTCTTGTCATTCAAAGCAAATTGATGAAAATTGCTGAAGTTTACAGAGTGCCTCTGTCCTGCCCATTTCATACTCACCTCAGCTTGCAGTCCTTTGGGAAAACCAGGATGGCTTGTAAAAGCCAGAAAACTGTTTTCATAACAATGAAAATAAGTAAACTTTGTATTGTATATTTGATACTTTCCTAGGTATTGTAGCAAATCATCTACTAGTAAAAAGCAAAAGCTATGCCAAACGTTTATTTCATGAGAAGGATTCCAGCAGTGACAATGTTACCCCCACAGCGGGGAAAAAAAAATAAACCCACAACCTGCTACTCTTTCCCTATCAGAATGTATTAGGAAAAAATCTTGTGAAGTCAATGGAATTACACTGGCATAAAAGATAGTTTAAAAAAAGCTCCTATATTTATTAAGAGGATTTCTTACTTTAGCTGCTCCAAATCTCTGACTAAAAATACTTGGTCAAATCTGTCTTAATGTGTGAGTGAATGAGAAATGAGAGAACGTGGCTCACTGTTTTGGAGGGGGAGAGGGCACCCTCTAGTCTATTAAATCACTTAGCAATACTCTCACAAGTATTTTTGCCACACTGATATCATGATTTTATGGTCTGTACAAGCATATGGATGAAAATATAGGTAAATATCTACCCCAAATTGGACCATTGAATATGCTTTGCCAAGATCAGTATTTTGCCATTCTGCATTAGAAAAATGCAACGAATGGCTAAAATTTTCAAGTTTCTTTAAGGCCAGTATGTTCCTAAATTGAGACTCTATTAAGGAACATACGTGACACTAAATATAGCACTTGTTAAGGCTGAAATCAGTGTGAGTTCAGAACCTAAATATTATGAAGCTGCAGAACTTTTGGCTCTTTTCTAGGAGCTGGGTCCCTACAGCTCCTTCTCTGGCTGTCTCTGGAAAGGAGAGCTCACGTCTCCTCCCTTGCTCTGCCAGATGCTGTCTCAGGGTATCTGTCCTACTTCCCTACTTAGCGATATCTGCTTATCTGCAGGCTGCTTCCTGATGCTGCCTCTTCCTTGCTAGAGGAAAGCTTTTCTACTCTGCCACTCAGCACTGATACCCAGCACTGTCTGTAAAAAACTGGGGAAGGGCTCTTGATTCAGAAAAC